AATTTTGTAACTCGCGAAATCGGTAACCATAAAGGCGACCAAGTAAGTGGACATCGGAAATGTCTTCTCGTAATGGTCCCAAACATATCCTGGCATATTACGACTGAAGATAAGAAACTGGATTAAATTTGAATATTTTATAATCAAACTTTGTATATAATTAAACGCGAATATATAAGTCTTATATAAGTCTTTGCATTTAACGTTTACATTTCTTCGGTGATTTTTCGCATTGAATTCGAGTGCGATTGCATGTTAGACTTTCTGCCAATTGAAATCCGGAACGGCGTCTTGATCCAAGGCTCGTCGAAGCATGGAAAAGCCGTACGAGCATGATTTGGAGAGAAATTTGACACTGCTATCCATCTAAAGGCAAGATATTTGCAAGCTATAAATTTGTGTAACGCAAACACAAATTGCACTATTTTATTACAAAATTTAATTTTGTGTCGATATCAACAGATTACATTGATGATAACAAAGTAATATCATTAACTGTCACCTGGTTTCGTTGGTATCGCGATCGATGTGCGCGCTTCTAAAAAATCCTATCGGCTCCAGATGCAATGGAATCGTATATTTTACGTGCAAAACGTAAGTCTCTCCCGCCATTAGTAGTTGCAAAAAAAATACATCTATGAAATCTTCCTTGTCCATCACAACGTACTTGTTAATTAGCGTTGATACGTTTGGCGAACGATATTCTTTCACGCTAATATTTTGAATGAAGAGCTTGCTGGCGTGAAAGCGTATGTGCTTAGTTGGGATCTTGGAATAAAATTGAATCTGTGCGACGCCGATCGTCGTGAAATTTTTCTCCTCTAGTATAGGGATTATTTTTAAGCTGCAAGTAAATTTTTTTTCAAAAAGTCGAAGGTTACGAATGATCAAAAAGTAAAAGCAACACGAATTTATATATTATATAGTTCAGCCGTTTTAATTTAGATGTGCTACTTGCTCTAAATATTTATTTTCTCGCTGTTACGATATGATTAAATTCTAATGTTAATCTTAGTCTCAGCAAGCAAAAAGCAAGTAAAGTTATGCGTTACAGATATTCTAGTTTACGTCTGCGATATCAATCATTCGGATGATTGACACGCGGCGCAGACAGAAAATTCAATGTCAGTCCATCACCATTGACTGTGACAAATTTGTTAATTTTACATTGCATATACTACTTCAATTCGAGATCTAAAATTAGGAAAAGTTTATTTAAATATCGCGCATTTTTTGCTAATAAAATTATAAAGAAATTTTTTAAAGCAAATTCTCGATTATATTTAGTGCACATTTATTCAGTTTTTGGTATTTAATTGATATTAAAAAATTCGAACAATTGTGAGTAACTTATCGTACGCATTAGTATAAAATTTAACAAAACTCTTAATTTTTAAAGATTGCAATAAACAGAAAAATATTTTTTTTTTATTTCTTTGTTATTTATATATAATATATTATTTATATATTTATTAAATATTTTGTTTGTGCTCACGTGTATTCCAATGGTAAAACTTGATCGGATAGCCTTTCCAAATAGGCCATTTTACCCCTTTTGTTTGACCCCTTGTATCTACCATCCCGCCGATGTTCTATAATCGAATTGATGAACCAAAAATAATCATCGAACTGACGGCCACGCAGATGAATATCATTACTGCGATTCGTATTTTCATGTACCATCCATGACGCGAACTTTCTGAAGCATTTTTATCCTTTATGAAATTTTACATATTTTTATTGGTTACAATAAAATATAGAGACAAATTATATAAAAGTTATAAATAATAAAAACGGCAGTTTCTCTAATCAGTAATCAAAGTATAAATTAGTTTTCAAATTCCTCGCATATATATTTGTCAGTATCAATTCGGTTAAGACATTAATAATCATCCTATGTATTGCTTATCTGTTTAATCAAAATGAGCATTTTCACGATTTGTAAAAGCACTGTGTATATATATATAATTAGTACTATGTCATGTAATGTGTAACTGGTTGATTAAAAATATGCTAAATTCTAAATTGCACATTGTGTTTCTATATCCTAATGACACTTTTTGATCATTTCTTCCTTCGATGCTACCCCATGCTTACCTTGTGCTTGGCGATCCTCCATATCCACTTATTGGCGAACAGGTGTTACGCTCCCGCAGGATCTAACAAACGAACGAACATTGCCACGACGAGTAACTGTCGGCGACTACGTCCGAAAGACGGAAAACGCGTCAAGGGCCCGGTGCTTCGGCCAGATGTGCCCGCCAAAAATACATCAAGAGAGGCACTTGGACATCGAACATCATCATTCAGGTTTAGTTTACCGTCGATCGCCCGTAACTTGCTCGCGGGGCTTGTTCTGTCATGACAAGCACGCGTTTTGTTATGCAATACATCGGACAAGAATATACGCGGACATCATCGTTCTACACTTGTAATTTATAAGCTTTCGGTAAAGAATCGAGGAAACGTCGAGGTCGTTTCGTCTATTAATTACCGCAGACGAAATAGGCAAGATTGATCGGAAAACAATTTCACTAATCCCAAAATATTATTGTATATTGCGAAATTGAAGATAATATCATTTAATTGAATGTCTACTAGAGTCAGCATTATGTCAATTAGTCGACTACATCTCAAATCTATTGCTATTTATGCAAGGTGCAACCTAGAATGTTTGCAAAATATAAAAAAGTTCAATCAAATTTATATTATAGTATGCAATTTTTTTACGAGTTATCAATTTGTTTTTAATTATCTTCCAGAACAACACAAGCGCAAGCTGCACCTAACATGTCTTTTTTAAAAATGGATAATTGTGTTTAATGACTTATTATTATAACGATTTATTATTGTCAGTAATTTTTGTATAAATTATTAAGGGACGTTTATTAAGAGATAGTTAATTCGCTTAAGTAGATCGATTGGATAATTGCAACAAACACGTGGGTATCTAATGTGTGCTTAATGTGCTGCGACTACGATTAGATACATCTACACATTAGCATCTAGCTTTTGAGTTAGTCGCATGAGAATCTTCCTTTGGCTGTTAATGAGAAAGCCAGATTTCTACTCACAGATTTATATTCGACAGAAGGTCCGACCGAGATCACCACAAGTATTCATTGTGGGATTTCGCTTTTTTTCACATGATATTGCACGAAACTTGACTTTACGAAAAAAAAGCTTGAATTTAAAATATTACTCGATTTAAATATCAGTCATGAAAAATAAAATTCGTGGGAAAAAGAATATTCTATTTCAATCAAACTTCAAGCCTTTTTTGTGAAAACAAGTTTTGTACAATCTCAGGTAAAAAAAAATAAATAAAATCCCACAATAAATACTTGTCGCGATCTTGGCCGGATCTGCCGAAAATCCGTAAGTTGTCTGACTTCCTCGTGTATCGATTTCGAAAATTCATGTAACCAAATTATTTCATATTTCAATATTTTATACATTAGCAAAAATTAATTAACTCATGCGCGTATTATAGTTAATAATAATGGTATTTAAATAATTTTTATTAATTTTGAAGATCTGACTGTTTTCATGGATTTTCCTAGTATTTATTGAGTATATACAAAGGATGCTGAAAAAAAATAGTTGACAGGCGTGAAACGCGGAAAACGCGGGTTCGGACGGCGTTTCCGTTCACCGAGACTGCTTGGCACCACTAGGCAGTCAGAAGTATCTCGTTTCAGGGAATCCCGCTTCCTGTGTCAAGAGCTGAGTGCTTGACGAGGTGGTATAGGTCTTTTGCCACGTCTCTTTCGGCACGCGTGTGACCCACCATCCTGAAAAAGGAAGCCAAACAATGCCGATGACTAATGGAGACGCGTGACCCTTCAGAAGAGGTCGACCCCTCAAAATGCTGCGTCGGAGTCCGACTTGCACTCTCGTTCTCGCCCTCCACACCTCCGTATTTTCTTAGGTGACTCTTTCTTCCTCTTCCTCCACTCCGAGATTGACTTATGCTCTTCATTGATGGAATGATAGCCATCCTCAATGAAATATTCGTGAATGAATCGGCTCGACAAAAATACAGCTTCTCTTTTCCACGTCTTCTTTCGATTTTGTTGTTAGTAAAATTGTGCATAAATACTTGTGTTCCAATTTTCTCAAATGCTTTATTTCAACTTATGTTTAACATTAAATATAATTATTCGATTAAAAATCCGTAAATAGTTGTTTAATTTCTTCGTGTATCAATTTAAAAAATTCATATAACAAAATTATTTCGTATTTCAATGTTTTATACATTAGCGAAAAGTATGTTTTATCTCTAGTCTGGAAAATACAAGTTAATTAATTCACGCCCGTATTGTAGTTAATAGTATTTAAATAATTTTTGATATTGTATGTACTCATTAAATTTATTTTACATTACTATATGTTTTTTACATTACTATTAAAAAAATACGACTAATTGTAAGTAAATCAATAGGCAAATAATAAGAAAAATCTAAATTTTAATTTTTAGTTTGATATTGTAAGAGATTAAACTATACTTATAACTTTATGAAAAACATTTATATTTAAATGTATATTTAACAATCTATGTAAATTTTTACAGATATTATATTTTAAGCATCCAGAAAATCCTTAATTATTTTTAATGTATTCTGATTTTATTTAAAATCCTAAAAATATAAAAATTTATTATTAAAAATTTAGCAAATAAAAGCATTACTTCTATGAGTGCGTCCTTTAAAAGTCTCTTGATTTTCAGCAAATGGCATACGGTATAAAGTAAAAAACTCGAGGAGACCGCCTTTGCAAGTCACAAATTGAATTTTTTAGCGAACGCTGATTAGTCACTTTGGCTACGAGAAACGATTCAAGATTCGGGATTTAAGATTGGCCAAAAAGCCGAAAGTAAGTATGGAAGAAGATTCTGGAGCTTCCATGACCCTACTCCTACTACTTCTACATAATGCTACCACGAGTCTTAGGACGACGCTGTCACATGTGCTCGTTTGACATTTCTGAGTAGGCGTTAACGCAATTCGCACCGAGCCGCGCGCGGAGTGATCCTGTAGTGGAATTGTGCTCGTCTGTGACTTTCTTAAACGATTAATTAAATACGGTTCTTAAACGATTAATTAAATACGGTGTCTCCCAATTGTTACATTTAATATTAAACACATAAAATAGTTTTTGACACATCTTCGAAATTTGATGTGACTTTACTGGGAAAAAATAGAGGCAAAAGAGAATAAAAAGTAAGAAGATAGAAAATCAATATTATTAAAAATAAAGTTTTTAAAATTTCTTTATAATGTCCGAACGAGAAATTTATTTTTCAATTAGATATAAATAATTAGTGCTTCTTCTCTCTCTTTTTTTAAATATAAAATTATATGTAGAAGTAAATAGAAATAGAAATAAGTAAAAAACGGGATAGAAAATATGGCAATAATTATTTTAAAAAAAGAATTAAATAAATATATGCTAATATATAAAAATTGATTTGCAAAGAAATCTTGTGTATATGTACGTAAATTGCATGTACATATGCGTGCTGAAAAGTTGTCGAAATTATTATTTATCTCATTGTTAGTCGTGATGTCGTGGTCAAAAAACACAATTGCAAACAGTCGTCAAACATACAATTTTGAATTACCACCGACACCTCCGACACCGTGTCTTCACTTGGAAGGACAGAACGCAAGATCAGCAACAACAGATTGCGAGATGACACCTTGGTGTCAAAAGTGGTCCTGGAATAATCCCTGCAACGGATTCGATGTTGCAACTGACGAAATCGCTCGAAATCTACATTCTTCATCATATATCGCAAATTTACTTCAAAGCACCGACACCAATCAAAATTATCGCACTTACAGGTAAAGCTCTATATTTTGCGTAAAAAAATTGAGAGATGTAAATATTGATCAATGAAATAATATTGTTCAATTTTTATCAATATTTGAGTTTTTTATTTCTTATTTTGTTTAAATAAAACAATATTTTAAAAAGACACATTTTTTAGTATTATTTTATAACAATAGTATATATTAATATTATTACTACGTTTATGAACATTTTATTATATATTTTGTATTCTAAATTCTAAAGAATATTCGTTCCAAAATTATCTCCGCTTTTGTAAAAAATAAACGTTGTTCGTGTGAAATTTTTAAAATCATATTTTACTCAAATTAATGTAATTTCAATTTATATTAAATTGTTATAAGAACATTTTCGAAATTATTGTTATTGTAACTTATCACACATTTAAAATAAAGAGCACTATAATATTATGCGATTACTAATATGATGTACATCTTATATAATTATGTACTTCATTATAATAATGTATTAATTATATGTTGAAGGTGGGAGCAATATTTTCAGCAAGATGCTGCAGATCATACGATGATTGATCCATCGAATAAAAAGGAAAGTGTTAAATCTTCGAATGAATCTAAAGATTTATTATATGAAAATCAAGACCAATCACATTCACGGCGTGTGATGACAAATACAGAAACGACTTTTCGCACTTGGGAAATGCCTCATTTACAGAATATGACTGTAAATTATGAAGATAAGAATAAGTATCAATTTTGGCAAGATTCACAACAAAATGAAAATTATGCGAATTCATTCTTCGGAGAAAATACACTTCCGCAGCGAAAACAAGGTAAAAATACAATGTGTTATCCAATTCTAATTATATCTATTATACATATTCTACATTATGTCTTTATAGCATCAGGATTTTTTTTAAATTGTATTTTAGAAGTTAAAAAAAATATCGATTATTCAAAAATTGATTATATTTGGAAAAAATTCTTATGCAATTTCTAATTAATTTTAACGCAATTATTTAAATCGTAATTTACACAGAAATTCTAATAATGTTGTGCACCAGCTGTGTGTGATAAATTAATATGAAACATTTCGGATCATGTAGCTTCAACGGATTTCCGATGTAAATCGTTGACAATACAATTGGAAGATTTATGTCTTTAGTGTCGCCAATGCGGCCATAACAGGCCCAGTGCAATCTAAATATTTATCAAAAGTTTAATGTATCTCGAGCTAGTGTACGTCTTGCGTAATAACGTTGTGTTGTGTCTCTTCCTATTATACTGACTTTAAAATGTCTTTTTAATTTCTGTCTCTCACCACTGCTTGATTTAATAAACAGTAAATAAATCTTCTTAATTTGAGAAATATTTATCGGTTTCTGACATTACTGAATTAAATAGAACATAAGCATAAGAAATCACACCTCTCAATCAAAACTTAAAAAAAGTCAAACATATATCTTTTTTCATATTATTAAACCCACACACATTTTAAATTAACATTATTAAATATTAAATATTCAATTAAGAAAAAAAAATCACGATACAAATTTAAATCATGTCTAAGTGCTATAATTAGGAAATGTAATTTTAATTAAATTTGCAAGTTTGCTTCTTTATTTTAAATATAAATTGGAATTAATTATGTATGAAAACTAAACTCTGCGCGCGAAACAATATTTTTTTTACTTGTTTTAAAAATCACTATATATGGCAATTAAATATCGAAAAAAAACTTTAATTTGTACGTTAAAAAGTTTACCAAAAATCATTGAGTTTGCATCGAAATACAACTAGCAAAGATGACTTTAACGTCCTCGTCTAATATGTATTTCGTTTTACTTTCGTAACTGGTCCGATAGACCATCGATGCCGGTCGTGGATTATACGAGAGATCTTGCGATTGACGTCAGCTAGCAATTAGAGCCGAGATAGCGGCACGGAAGCAAAGTTAAGGGTCTCGAGAAAAAGAGAGACCTCTTCCACAGCCTCTCTCTATATTTCTCGGTGGCCACGTGTGTGTCGTGTGCGGTGGAAGCTGCGCTTCTCCAGCAAAAGCGGGTTTTGCAAGCTGCGAGCGGGTGTAACCCGCGCACTGACGCATCGTGCACGCGGCTATTTTCATCTCGCCGGCGACAAAAAGTCGCCGCTGCCGCGAAATCTTGCCGCGGAAAATTGCGCGGCAAGAGGACGATGCGGCGAGATCGACCCGGATGATGAACGCGTTATGTCCAGGAGAAAACTGGACCAGAGAGAGAGGAATCGCGTCTGAATCGGAATTATTTATAAACAGAATACTTTATAGAATAAACATAAGTTTGTCTTCTTTTCTGATTACAACGTATTGTGCATCTTTCTCTCCATGCATGTTTTTGATATCCTAAAAATTAAATACTTATATCTCGATAGCTAATAAGAATTTTATATTATTATATGTGATATAATTTATATTATTAATTCGATCTCTATAACTTCAACTCAAAATTATTATTTTTCATATATATATATATATATATATATATATATATGAAAAATAGAAATTTTTTATATCTTTTCTGTAATACTTTTATCATAACACAAACTCTGCAATATATCAATAATTTTAAATGTCTATATATATATAGACATTTGAAATTATTGATATATTGCAGTTTATGATAAAAGTATTACAGAAAAGATATAAAAAATTTTGCTAACTAAAATTAATGCTAGAAACGATATACCTAAAAAAATTTAGTTTAAAAATATGCGAGTTCTGATAATACCTTATAATTCTACGTTCATTCTGATGCGTGTGAAGCTAACATATTATTTCATGAAAGATCATAAATAATTGAGTCCTGGGTTTGTTTTCAATAGTTCTAGAGTTCAGAACACATCATTCTGATTACAGAAACGACAAAGAAGACAAGCGAGAAACCGCGGAAGGAGAGAACCGCGTTTACGAAGCAACAGGTTCGACATCTCGAATGCGAGTTTGCGCACAGTAATTATTTGACACGTTTACGTCGTTACGAGATTGCTGTAGCGCTGGATTTGACAGAACGTCAGGTATACTATGAAGAGAATTTAAATAAACAAAATAGAAAATTCCTATATATGTATCCATTTATCATTTGGTCATATTTTTATAGGTAAAAGTGTGGTTTCAGAATAGGCGTATGAAATGGAAACGGACGAAAGGAAGTACGATGAACGTACAGGAAGCAACCAAATCGTGATATATTTTTCGAATATATCAATCAACTAGTATACAATATTTAGATGTAATTGTACATAACGATTTACACAAATATCATTTCCAGAAGTATTAGAAATTTATGTAATGTCTATTGTTACTTGTAGAGGCTCATATTTTATCGTATATAAATTTTTGTTTTTTCACAAATTTTCACAAATTTTGTTTTTTCAAAAATTCAACCATACATATTTATAAAAAAAATTTAATAGACTCTACACACTTTAAAAGAATGAAATAAAGTTAATACCTTTATTGTTTTTACGTTTCCGTGTTCGGCACATCAACAGGTTGAAATTTTATACTAATTCCTTTATCTTGAAGTTTACTTTCTAACATAGAGAGTTTATTGAGCGATTTTTTAACGTATTTTTTGTAATCTTCGGTTTTTTCGTTACGGTTTTTACGTAGCAATGCCCTTCTCCTGCTTCTCAATTTAGGATATTTAGCTTCTGACCAATTTTTTCCCGAGAAAAATCCAAGATGTTGCTTCTCAGGTGAAATATATGTAGCTAAAAGACACACATGTTATATAAATAGACAAGAAAAATTAATGCATTAATATCCAATTTTTAAATTTAAGCAGTACTTTTCAATAATCGGTTACACATGAGATAATTGTTCATAGTCTCTGCTGCAACTTGAGCAATGTCTGGATTAAGAAATTCTACATAACCATATCCACGACTTTTCCCAGTCTGTGAAGAAAATTTTTAAAAGTTTACATAACATATTGCACTCATAAAATATATTTACAACTCATTTAGATTTGTACGTACTCTTCTAGATCGTACCACTCGTACTCGTGTTACTTTCCCAATCTGTTTAAAATATTTTTTCATTTGTTCTTCATAAAATCCATGAGGTATGTGTCCTACATAAACTATACCTTTACGTTTCGGTTTGTGCACTCGGTTTTTCAATTGATTAGATTTACGTTTTATTAACTTTGTTTTCTCTTTCTTGGCAGCTTTAGCTTCTGTTTTCTTTTTCTGGAAAAAGAAAAATCATATTGATAAATGTAACAAATATTCATTTAACATTCAATCATTTAAATTTTTGTTAAAGTTTTATTAAAATAATTATTATTAAGACAGAGCCTTGTTAAACTCTTAAATTATTATTAAAACAGTAAATGCTACAATAACAAATAATTATCAGTACTTGATAAATTATAAAATATCAATAATAGTGAAGTAATATAAATTAATTAAATAAATTAACAAGCTACAAAAATACGATGAAATAATTTCAAAAAACCCAAAAAATGAAATAAAACATTCTGAATTTTCTAGCAGAGATTACAACTAACCTTCAAAATTTTTTGCACAATTTTGCTAGCTCTTTCAAGATTGCCAATTTTTGGCTTCGATGGTTTTCGCACCGCATCTTTCTTATTTGTTTCAAGATCCATCTTGGAAACCAATTTTAGCACCTTATTATTCAGATGTAAACAATAATACACGGATTATTTTTTGAGTCACATGCGAATGCAGATACAGGTTATAGAAAAAGGACTGCGCATATATTTTTTGACTGCGTCCAGAAAAGCACGCAGAATGAATTTTTGGAGGACGAATCTGATTGGTGGACAAATAAATATGTATCCAATCATGAGTAATTGTTACTTAATAATGTGTTTCTGAACCCAGTGTTTAGGAGCCTGAAGACTGCTGAAGATGACTACGCTTGAAGTAGAAATGTTTACAGTTTAAACACAAATTTCATTTACTTATTAATAATTTGATATTTTGAAGCCATTCAAACTGCCTGAATTACTTAAAATGCGAGGTAATTAATCAGATTATTTTATCTAGTAAAATTACTTATGTTCTGTTAGATTATATTTTAGTTCTTGTAATTATTTTATATATTAATTACCTGACTTATATATTAATTATATATGAATTAACCTGGCATATAAAATTTGATTCACAGATAAATAGGTAGATTATAATAAAAAATGGCGAACCCAACAGAGCAAGAATTACTCCAATGCAGCATCAAATTTCACAACTTTGTTGCCAAAGTGGGTGACGTTACTATTAAATGTGAAATTATAAAGATGGAAGATTCTCTGTATCTATGGATAGGAGATTCTGCTAATTCCACCATGGATGATCTGTCCTTTTCATTTACATCGAATTGTAAAACGCAGCCTATTGCAACCAAAATTATGGGTGCTGTAGCGGATGCTACGTCTACAAATATAGCTAGGAGATTCAGCATAAAGCTTGGAAAGCCGGTGTATGTTAGTTTTAATGTAACAGCGGACAATATGTTATTGCTAGGGATTGAAAAGAGAGTACAAGAGGAATTTAAGATGCATAATGATTTATTGAGCTTTGAGCATTAGCAGATAATTTCTTATTCAACAACTTTTTGTACGTACTTAATACTTTTTACTGTGTATAACAAAAAAGGTATAACAAAATATATACATATATGGAATATTATATTAATAAATCTTTTAATTAAATTATATCTAATATATTACAAAATTTTATAAACTAAAAATATGATTCGGTAATAGAGATGATAATTTATTCATTATTAAGTTAATAATATTATTATGTAATGAAAAATATATAATATTATGTAATAATATTATGAAATAATATTATGTAATGAAAAATAGAAACAAAAAAAGTTTTTTCTTGGGTTAATGTAGTTTTAAAGCCTATGTGAAAGATTGCATAAATGTAAAAGCATCAGATTAAAACTCAATTTATTTAAAATTACTTGTTTCTTAATTGCATATATATTATTTAGTTACGTCTTTTAATCTTAATAATATAAATATATATCAAATAAAAAGCTGTATATAATAAGCTTAATAATGATAAATATACATATCGAATAAAAAGCTATTATATACAAGTTATGGAATCAATTGCTATTTATTTCTTTACTATTTTTTGTCATTATTTCATACTTTTTGAATAATGATGAATAATTAATATCATGTACGTAAATCTAAATATGTAAATTTATCTTTTTTTTTTATAGGATTATATTTTATAAATGCTTCAAATTTGATTGACTAATCAGAACAAGAAGAGCACAGATATGCTACGAACTGTTCTGAAAACATTGTTACATCGAATGAAACACGTGGTTTCTCGATTGTAATTATTACACCATAACCTGCAATTGTGTGATGGCTCTCACGTGTTCTGTGATTGTCAAATAATCGCTTTTCATATATAATTGTACACAATGTTAATTGAGAAATTGTCAAATTTCTGCGAGAGAAATGAGAAATATAAACAAAGATTCTTTCCTCCTGAGGTAAATATTTTTTTCCTTCAAAATATTACTTCTAATCCTCACATGTGTTTCTCTTCTTCAAATTATTAATATTTATTAATCTTGGTTTTGTCAATGAATTATATATATATGTCAAATTAATGGATACGAATTCAATTCCTTGTTTATTTTTTTAGGAAATTCATCAAATCGAGTCTGACAGAATTTTAGAAATATTATGCGAATTTATAATGCAGCCGGAGTGCACAGAAGATGTTGCTGACTGTTTTCCAGAATTATTACCGGCACTCGTTTCAATGGCGATACCTGGAGACGACATACAATTAACTGCACTAATTGACAAGGATATTATTCATAGATTGAACTGCGTCATACTAGGAAAACTGCTTCTAGTTAATCAAGATTTACTAAAAACGTATGTACTTGTCGTAGTAATATATGCTTATTTTATGCATTGTGTACAATAAATTTCTTAGAAAAAATATGTTTCATAAAACAACAACGTTTAATAATAAGAAATATAATTTATAACATTTTATGAACTTATATATTTTATTTATACAAGATTGACAAGTAATTGACTTCTGATATTTTTTACTAAAAACAAATTTTAAAAATCATTAAATTTTTGTATATATTTATATAATATTAAAATTTGCACAATTGTATATATTATAAAATTATATTGTTTTATTCTTTCAGATTTGTTTTACAATATTTTGATGTTAATCCAGCACCATTTGAATTTTATAACACAGAAAATTCGTCTCTTGAAACTGTTACACCTGCAAAAAGACGAAATACAAAGAAATTATCGTATAATGTATCCACAGTATCTGAATATGATATTGTTATTGCGTGTTATAACATTTTGCAGTCTGCTGTCAGCCATTTTAAACATAAATGGAATTGGTCCAAATTTTATACATATTTGACAAATGCAGATGATAGAGTAAAGTGGTAGGTACATTGCAATAAATTTATAATTTTAATTTTTTTTAACTAAATATAAATATCAAGAAACTTAATTATTTTTCTTAATTGCTTTCGAAAAAAAATGATTTGCTTATTTCATTTTAGGGCTGCCTTAAAATGCATAGCAATAGTGTTAAACATGTCTGAATCAACAAGATTATTATGTGCGCAAACATTTATTTCAAACTTTGAAAAATTTTTGACTGATTATGAAGACAAAAGAACAAACATCAGTACTGCTTGTGCGAATTTGGAATCGATGGAAGATATAGTAAAAAATAGCTCGTCTATCATATCTGTCAGTGGCATTTTGTTACCTACTCTTCAGAAGAATCAAGACTTCAATAAGTTAGTTCCAGTTTCGTCCACGACGAAAAATCTGCAAAGTCTGGCAATGGCCATTGGCTCCAGGAAATGTATTTGCTTGCAAGGACCAGTAGGCTGTGGTAAGACAGCTTTGGTAGAATATTTAGCCAAAGTCACCGGACACGACACTTTGAATTTCGTCAAGATACAACTAGGGGATCAGACTGATTCGAAGATGCTACTGGGAATGTACAAGTGTACCAATGTGCCCGGCGAATTTATTTGGCAACCGGGCGTCCTCACACAAGCAGTTATCGCCGGCAAATGGTTGCTACTAGAAGATGTAGACAGCGCTGCTCTGGATGTAATCAGTGTTTTAAGCAATTTGATGGAAACAGGAATACTGTGTGTACCCGGCTATCGCGATACTGTTTATGCCAATAGTAAATTTCAATTGTTTGTCACTCGGCGATTGATGACATCTGCTACAGGCATTCAAAAGCATGTCACAGGATCTTTGAGTTTATTGCAGAAACATTGGTTGTGTTTAAACGTGGAGCCTCTATCCAAGAACGAATTAGTAACTGTAGTCAAAACGCTATTTCCAGTACTAAGTACTATCGCTACTAGAATAGTAGACGTGTTCTTATTGTTTTCTGTAGGGCATCACGATAGTGAAAATGACGCGAGTAATGCTATAGCATCACTGAAGATTGGACGACAAACGTCGACAAGAGATTTGATAAAATGGTGTTCCAGAGCTATCGTCGATTTCGACGTTTCATCGCCAAATTCTTCATTAAAAATATATCAAGATGCTTTGGACGTCTTTTGCTATTCGGTGCCTAATCCAAGTATGTTTTTATTTTTATTTTCTTACTATCTTTTTTTACAGTGTGACATTAAATTTTATTTAAAAGAATTTTAATTGTATTATTTTAATTATCACAATCTTTTTGCAGATCAACGGTTAAACTTGGCTAAATTGGTAGCTTCCAAACTCGGCATTATAGAAACTAAAGCGGAATACTTCTGCAGTTTACACAAGCCTTCCATAGATTTGCGTTCCAATGTTCTGACAGCGGGTAGAGCGCAATTGCTTTGCAAGGAAACACAGTTCGCTCGTAGAACGTATGTAGAAAATACCAATTTTTCATTTACAAGAATTTCCGCATGTTTATTGGAACGCATAGCCAGCTGTATCATGCAAAAGGAACCTGTATTGCTAGTCGGCGAGACAGGTACTGGAAAAACGAGTGCAATACAGTATTTGGCGAGAAGCACTAATCATAAATTGACAGTTATAAATATGAACCAACAAAGTGAGAGCGTCGATTTATTAGGCGGTTACAAACCGGTTGATTTAAAGTTTCTGATTTCACCTATTCTTAAAGAATTTGAGGAACTGTTTTATATTTATTTTGCGATAGAACCGAACAAACAGTACTTGGATAGCATAACTTTGTGTCACGACCAGCATAGATGGGATGACCTTCTTGCTAAAATGTTTCGAAGTACACTCGCCGCTGTGAGGACACAGAAAGATAGATTGCAAAAGTTACTGGAAGAATTTAAGCTTAAACAAGACGAGAAAGGACATTCCAGACTACTCAATCATCTAGATATGCTGAAGAAATGGAAGAAAATACGGGACAAACTTAATAAACTCAAAACTCAAGTGAAGAGTCACTATGCGTTCTCTTTTATGGAAGGGAGTTTGATCAAGGCTTTACGGAATGGCGATTGGGTTCTCTTAGACGAGATTAATCTGGCGAGCGCGGAGACGCTGGAGTGTCTTTCCGGTTTACTGGAGAGTTCTTCGGAATCGCTATCGTTGCACGAGCACGATGGCGAGCCTGTGACTAGACATCCTGACTTCACAATATTTGCCTGCATGAATCCGGCCACAGACGTCGGCAAGAGAGATCTACCAGTCGGTTTGAGGAACAGATTCACCGAATTCTACGTCGACGAGTTAACTGCGCTACCGGATCTTCGGCTGCTGGTGAATTCTTATTTGGAAACTTTACATCTGCCTGTGAAGGTACACGAAGCCATCGTGAAATTCTATTTGAATGTGAGAAAAGAAGCTACGAACACGTTGTTCGACGGGACGGCGCACAAACCACATTACAGTCTTAGAACACTTTGTCGCGCGTTATATATTTCTGCGTCGAATCCCTGCGGCAATTTCCACAGATCTATGTACGAAGCCTTTTCTTTGAGTTTCCTGACGCAGCTGGATTACAACTCGTATCCAATTGTACAGGAAATGATCACGAGAGCTATTTTGCGTGATCAAAATGTCAAAGCCTTCCTTGGCAATCCTATACCGAAACCGAAATGCAATTCGGGCGAGGAGTATGTGTGCATCGAAGGATATTGGGTTCTTCAAGGAAGTTTAACGCCCGAGGTACCTAGCAATTACATATTGACCGATTCCATCAGAAGAAATTTGAGAGACCTGGTAAGAGTGGTCTCGATCGGAAAAATCCCAGTTTTATTACAAGGTGACACATCAGTAGGAAAGACCAGTTTGATCACTTATCTGGCGAAGACCACCGGACACGTCTGTGTCCGAATAAATAATCATGAGCATACAGATTTAGAGGAATACGTCGGAAGTTACATGGCGGACGAAACTGGCAAGTTGGTGTTCAAAGAAGGTATCTTAGTTGACGCGATGCGTAAAGGATACTGGATTATCTTGGACGAATTAAATTTAGCTCCAAGCGACGTGCTGGAAGCTTTGAATCGGGTCCTCGACGACAACAGAGAGCTCTTCATACCCGAGACGCAGCAAGTCGTGAAAGCGCACAAACATTTTATGTTATTTGCGACGCAAAATCCTCCTGGTCTTTACGGCGGTCGAAAAGTCCTATCCCGAGCGTTCAGAAATCGATTCGTAGAATTGCACTTCGATGAGATTCCGCCGAATGAATTACAGACGATACTCGGCAAGAGATGCAACATGCCCGAATCGTATTGCAAACAAGTAATTAATGTAATGACGGATCTTCAAATAAGGCGTAAGAGTACAGCGGCTTTTGCCGGTAAGAAGGGATTTATAACTTTGCGAGATCTGTTTCGTTGGGGCGAGAGGTATAGATTAGCACCCGAGGTAGGCAACAAGTTTTACGATTGGAGTCAACATATGGCGGACGAGGGCTACCTCGTTCTCGCGGCTAAAGTCCGTCGAGCGGAAGAGGCAGACCAGATAAGGCAAGTAATAAAGAAGCATCTGAAGAGAGACGTGGATCCTGAGAGCCTGTTTACGTTGAACGACAAGACCTCGCCTGTGACGAGACGGATTTTAGAGGAGATCTTGAACAACAAGATCTCAGGCTTTGATCACATCGTGTGGACTTATCATATGCGTAGAATGGCGGTGTTGGTGAAGAAATCCTGCCAGTTCAAGGAACCGGTGTTGCTGGTCGGGGAAACCGGTGGAGGCAAAACTACAATCTGCCAGCTGATCGCCGCTATCAACAATCAAACCATGCGCAACGTTAATTGTCATATGCACACCGAATCGTCCGATTTCCTGGGAAATCTGCGACCGGTTCGAGAGCGAGCCGAGGGTGATCAGAGGCTCTTCGAGTGGGTGGACGGTTCTCTGATAAATGCGATGCGTCATGGCGATCTGTTTTTAGCCGATGAGATCTCCTTGGCTGACGACAGCGTTCTGGAGAGATTAAATTCATTGTTGGGTGAGTACAAGTCGTGAATATAACAAAATATGTAGAAATCAATTGTTTTTTTTACTTATTAATTTTCTATGTTACAGAACCGGAACGTAGTCTTCTGTTGACCGAGAGAGGAATCGAGTCATCATGTGGTGAAGAAAACGCAGTGATTGTCGCTGATGAGAAGTTTGTATTTATCGGCACGATGAATCCTGGCGGCGATTACGGTAAGAAGGAACTCTCGCCGGCCTTGCGGAATCGTTTCACCGAGGTATGGTGCGAAGGATGTATGGCGAGGAACGATTGGCGCGACATAATAGCGCACAATCTTCGCATTGACTCGCAGTCGACGAGGGAGTCCGTCGCCATCGCGATATTGAGATTCACCGAATGGTTGCACATGACCGAAGTGGGCAAGAAGCTCACCGTGACCATACGAGATGTGCTCACTTGGGTCGATTTTATTAACACGTGCACCCAGTGCGACACACTCGTGTCGAAACTATCAGTCGGAGAAGCGTATTATCACGGTGCTTGTCTCACGTACATTGATAGCCTCGGATCTGGCTGCACAGGCTCGGAAAGGTGAATATTATATTAGCAAGTAATATCAATTTATATAAAAATTGAAATAAAAATTTTAAATAAATTAAATTTGATAAGCTATATTTGTTAAATATTACAAATTAATTATTCATTTTAAATTAAATAGAAATACAAGTTCTTATATCACGTTTTTCATTTGTTAATACAACAAAGAATTTAATGTCTAACGATTCACTATTATTTATTTTTAGCATCGGCAAATTGAGGGATTTTGCAGAGGCAGCTCTCCGATTTATTAGCTCAGAAGTGGAAAATACAATAAAATCTGATCTTAATATGGAAACTTCTCGGATAAACGAGAAAGCCGTTATGGATGCTTCAGACGTATTTGGCATATCACCGTTTTATATAAAGAAAGGACCGCACATCTTTCCTGAAAATCACGTTTTCACATTTACAACTCCCGCTACGAAGCTGAATACGTTGAAGCTGTTAAGAGCATTGCAATTGAGCAAACCGATTCTGCTGGAAGGAAGTCCAGGTGTAGGAAAAACCAGTCTAGTTTCCGCACTTGCCAAAGCCGCAGGACAGACTTTGCTTAGAATCAATTTAAGCGACCAAACGGTACGTGTTATAAACAGCGAGACACGAGTTTCATCAAAGTAATATATATTGTAAAAATTAATATAAATAACATTTTCTACAGGACGTATCCGATTTGTTTGGCGCCGATCTTCCTGTAGAAGGTGGAAAAGGCGGTGAATTTGCATGGCGGGATGGGCCGTTTTTGCGAGCCTTGCGGGCCGGATATTGGATCTTGCTCGATGAATTAAATCTAGCCTCGCAATCGGTTCTGGAAGGCCTCAACGCCTGCTTTGATCACAGAGGAGAAATATACATCCCCGAACTAGGAAAAACATTCTTGGTTAAGCCTGGCACAAGATTATTTGGCTGTCAAAATCCCTTACGGCAGGGTGGAGCCAGACGAGGATTACCAAAATCCTTCTTAAATAGATTTACCCAGGTACTATTACATTTACAGAGTTTAATATAATACTATCAAACTGTAACTTTTATATTTTAATATTATTTTTTTTGCAGGTTTCTATAGAGATGTTAATGGAAGACGATTTGAAATTTATACTCGGTGTGCAATTTCCACAACTTCCTGTGGACTTGATCAATGACATGGTACAGTTCAATAGTAAATTAGTGTCGGAAATTGGCGTTGTGTGGGGACATGCCGGGTCTCCATGGGAAATGAATCTACGAGATATCACTCGATGGTGCGAGACGACTATCAAGGCTGCTTCTAATAAATATCGTGGCAATAAACGATATTTTAATCCGGGTGATAGTGTGGAGCTTATTTATGTTAATAGAATGAGGACTAATGAAGATCGGCAAAAGGTGAGCCTATCGATAAATATCACGAATTAAAATATCGTGAAATCATTCATTTTTAGCATTATGTAATATTTTTTATATTATGAATTTGTTTTGCAGATCTATCATATATATCAAGAAATGTTCTCGCCCGAAAAATATCCGCTCCCACCTAATCAGTTACCGATGCACATCACAGCAGATAAACTGTTCATCGGCGATGTGACGCTAAGGCGGGAAAATTGTTGCGCAGACGAAGACTGTAATTTGTTAGTGCTCAGAGATCAGAGAACGACATTAAAGAGTCTCATGCAATGCGTTAAGATGAATTGGATGTCTATACTTGTATGTTTATTTATTATATATCTTTTATTAGAATTTTTCATCTTTTGTTAATTAATCATATTTTAAACTTAATGTTACAGGTTGGTCCTTCCGGTTGCGGGAAGAGCAACGTGGTTCGTCTACTTGCTGCTTTGACGGGTCAGAAGCTGAAATCCATAGCTGTGAACTCTGCGATGGACACGACTGAGATATTAGGTGGCTTCGAACAGGTAAGTGACGACGTGAGATAGCTAATTAAATATTTTCCTGACAATGCGTTTATAGTCTTTCGAAAGATAATTGAATCAAGTTATGAAGTTTCTGATTTATTTCAAATGTAAAAAATTTTTACTTTTATTTCTGAAGAAAACAAGATTTTTTTATAATAATTGTTGTAATGTTTTAAAAGATTTTTTCTTAGAAAGAAAAATGATTAATATTTTGTTAAATAATTAATTATGTAAGTATAAAATTAAATTAAACATATTGTATCTTTCGTTATATTTTAAACGCATTATATTGTCGCTTTGGATAGGAAGATGAACAACGTAATTACATTCATATATTACACAGACCTTTATTTCAATATGTGAGCAGGATTTTACATACATTTAAATATATGCATTTTTCTCTTTTCCTCTTTCTGACAAGGATTTATGATTTATAAATTATATAACTTATATATAGTGTCGCATATTTTGCTACCAATTTATTCGCAGACGCTATTCGCTTAGAAATATTCTTAATAATACTTTCCCCTGACGGATTATTTAGAATAATTCGCTCCAGTGCTTTAACTTTCAAGCACGATTTCACGAAAATAAATTTTAATAGCAATTCCAAGTTATTAAAAGATAATGAAAATAAATAGGTTGAATTAAATAAATATAATTCTAAAATAATTGTGCTAAAATTTTAAATACATACACTTCTATACGCTGGTGTATACGATTTTTCGATAAATTTCAAATTCCAGACTCCAGATGATTCTAAATTTTACATTCAATTTGTTAAAAAAAAAAATAATAACCATAGAATATATGTATGAACTAACAATAACACTATTGCAAAAATGTACAGTGTATCAAACGAATTGCAACAGTATTGAAATTTTCGATTCAGATATTTTTTCGTATATTTTCGCATTTTTTCGTATATTTTTTATACATTTAAATATTTTTTCTCTGTTATTTTTACAATTACTATTAATGGATATAGGCCATTTTCGTTCTCTCGATGTTGTGCATATATAAAATTACAATAAAAAATTTCGGTCTCATTCTGACATTTTCTCTTACGCGTACTTTACATTAATTTACATTGGACATTTATTACATGTGATATACCTAGGAAGAAAATGTGGTAGTTATGGTAGTTAATTGACTTGTATTTAAGCAGTATCTTTCATACGCCGCTTTTAACACCATTTGCGGCAAATAAAGAAAGATAGGATTGAGTGAAGAGTTAATCTCACGTAATTTTACTGAACATCAACACTCGTCACATAACATTACGTTGCATGCTCATTTTCAAATATGTGACGCTACATTGATATGCTTTTTGCTATACAATAAGAAATATTCTATACTATAACACTTTTAATATATTTTTAATATACATATACATAATATATGTATATTTTAATGAAGTCAATAATTTGCATATTTTTTTGGTAATTTTAAAAGAAATTGTGACAATTTTGATTCATTTGATCGAACTTATAAATAATATAAAGAGACATTGAGAAAAATGTCTGTTACCAAATTTTATGTTTGAATTTTACTCTTCAGATATATATATCTTTTTTATGATTGAAATAATTTATTTTAATTTAAATAATGATCACGAATTTGCTAACTGTGATTTAGTACAATAACGATATAGCGATATGAATTTTCATAATTTCTCACACAACATCTCGTTATTTTTAATCCTCATAATTAAAAATTTTTTTTAACTTGTATGAAAAAATGTATTTGTGTGCTTTCAAAAATTACCTGATAAATATTCAAATTATTTGCTCGAATTTTGGTCAGCTTTAGGTTCAAGTAACTGAATTTTGATAAGCCTTAGTTTTTCTCTCGTCTCATTTTCTCTCGATTTTTTCGTTAAATTTGCCATTTTTTATTTATTCTTTAATATTGTGTTTCTTTAATATCATAATTTCTTATGAAGGACGATCCCGAAATATATTCTTTTTTTTATTATTTTATAAGAGTAAGATTTTATATGAGTAAAAATTTGGAATGTGCGAGGGGATATATTGCTTTCTGTTCACAGTTTAGCGAAACAATAATTTCGCATAATCTTATTTTGAAACTAAATATTAAATTTGCATTAAGAATAATTATTACGAATTGCTAAAAAGGATTAATAGCAAATATATATTTGCGAAGAATTTTTGATAGGCTATGGCTATTACTAGTTTCTCATTTGCGGAAGAAATAAATAAAATCGACATATCTCTATTTCCTTTCTCTTAGTCGCTATTTCTCATTTGCATAAAACAAAGCGTTACGTAATGTCGATGTAATGCGCAGTTAAATCAGCGAAACGCTGATACATCGTGCGATTGCAACGGGTGCAGTCTCTAAAATCTCGCATAGAAAATATATATGTAATTCAATATATATAATATATGTTCTCGAGAGAAAGATTGAGTCCCCAGATGAAGAAGCTCACACGATAGTGCTACTTTACGAAGGATTGCACATCCGATCCTTATAAGTGCACCCAGACGTGAAGGAAGGGATTATAAATATCTTTTTCTTTTAGTTACACCTTCTAATACGTGTTGTTTTTCTCTGCCTTGTCAGATGCTCACTGCATTTTCAGTTTTTATTCTTATGGAAAGTATAGCTGAAAAAAAGCAGACTATAAATTATACATAATTATCTAACATTTCTAATATATCGTATCACGCGTTTTCTATCTATAAACATAATATATGTGTATATATCTTCTCTATATAAATCTATTAGTGACACCACACAGGACGAAGACTAGGACGTTCATCAGCAATCACAGATATATTTAGATGATGCCCGATTGATTAAATTTTCTCTTTGCAATTTGTCGCATTTTTTCTTACAGTTAATAGTTGATGCCATAATACGCGCATAATGCAATTAATTGAAAAATTATATTCCAATTTTTAAATCATATACGGAATTGACGAACAGTTTATAATAACAAGTAAACATAATTTTATTATTTAGTACGTATATACAAGATGTCCCAAAATTTAAATATATTAAATTAATGGTAACATTTGAACTTTACTGCCAATATAATAAGATTAAAGTAAATTTTATTTTCCAATACTTAATTTCCAACTAATTAATAATTGTAGCAATATTACGCTATATTGCTCACAATTTAAAATTTTATTATTTAATTTTATTAAATTTTATGATTGTTGGAGGGACATCATGAGAGCGAAATATATTGTTTCAACAAAAATTGTTGGAAATAATTCTAGCCACGAATTTGCAAAAAATAGAGTAGTACGCACTTTTGAAACACAGCAAGATGACAGTGTTGTTTCTTAGGTCTTATAAAAGCAATGATATTTAATAATTATTTTGACTAACAATTTCGGACGTGAAAGTCGTGTAAATTGACATGGACGTAAGTACGAATTTTGTGAAAAAAGTCAGTCTGTCGATATCTTTAAGTCTAAAATATGTTGTGCATCTCATAAAAATACAAGTAAACGTATACATCAAATCTTCGATTATTCTCTAAATTCAAGATATATATTATTTTTGTGATTAAAATCTTACACTACACAAAAACTTAATGTCTCGCTCTTTGACATCGCAGAAAATTATTCTATATGTAGAAACCCAATTTACGATTTGATTTGAATTAAATTAAACTTACGATAGAGTTTAATCTTGACTCTATTAACATTGCTGTTAAACCTATAGAAACATAAAGTTTTACAGACGTTTTCAAGAGTAATCGCGTAAATGCAAATATTTGTGATGTCTTTGCTGATATATATATTTATAATATATTAACGTTCGTCGTTAGAAAACGCTTAGGTGACGCAATATATATATTAGTATATAATTCATTTGATTTTGGGGCTCTCTTTCTCTTTATCGACAATATAAATATCTGATTATATAAGAGAATATATATAATGCTCCAGGAGAGGATCTTAAAGGAAGGTGCCTTCCCGAAAAATTTATTTTCATCTTTTTGCGATTATTTTTTTTTTTTTTACACGTAGCACCAATTAACGTCATGACGTTCTCTAATACGTTGTTAATTTTTCTATAATTGGTTTGCTCGTTTAATCGCTGGGCAAGTCGCTACTCGTTGGACTTTGGAGATCATTTAATTTTGTAGGTGGAGGCAGCAAGAGACTCGGTCTCCTGGACAGTTCCTCTTCGTAAAGACTGGAGGTGCTCTTCGGTCTTGAAGTCAAACTCCAGGGATCGGGTACCGCGATAGAATTGTCCTATACAATAATTATACATTTATATGCATTCGCCACAAGTTTAATTAACAGTGTTTGCTGTTATTTAAATAAAATTATATAGATGATCATCTAGATGAAACTTTGGCGTTATCTTATCTTATATAGACAATAAGAATATGTATTATTTTGGTTTAGAATCATAGCACATAAAAATACTTAAATAGTAGAACTTAAGCAGTAAGCAATAAAAAATTATAAATAAAAATATGAATACATACTTATATTCTTATATCCCTTTTATGATAAGCAGTCTTAAAAATTATTACCTGGAAAATTATATCTAGATGAATCGGCATATAATTTTATATTTTATCTATTATAGATAAATTTAAAACAAAATCGTCTTTATCTAATTATAAGATAAATTTCCATATTTTTATTTCATCTTTACCTAGCTAATTTAAAAATCATCTAAGCACAACACTGTTAATTAATAAAATATTTAGTGTTAAAAAGGGTCTTATATAATATTTTCAAGGAAAATTAGTCTTCGAGTAATTACGAATCAATTATCAAGCGATTAAGGCGATTCTCTTCTCTTCATTAAAGCCCGGTCTTTAAGGTCATTAGGGACAAATTTCGCGTTAAGAGTCGACGGATTATTCGACTAAGTGTCCTACCACCAGCAAGTGTTTGGCAGTCGGTGGCAGGGGTGGTTTTAGGAGGGCCACATCGGTAAGATTGCGTCCTGACGGCGCGACGCCTGACGCTAGGGGTGGATCCGGAGGCGAGGGTAGATTCATCGGCGCCTCGTATCGTGGTAGGGTGACGTTTTGCATGACATTCTGCGGACCGGAGGCGGCGGATCCGAGGATCCATCTGGCTACGCTCTCGCAGCAGCCGCAACACACGTCCAACATGCCTTGCCGCAGCCCGCGGTGTAGGGCGAGAAACAGAGCCGGGTTTACGAAGGCGTGCACATACGCGATGTGCAGAGTCACCTACGGTATAACAAACCGCGAAATCCGCTGATTTAGATGCGGTAATAGTACGATATGAATTGTAAATGGGAATCTACAAATGTTACACCGATGCGAAATTAGATAACAGCGTAGTTGGAAATTGAAAAGAGAAGTAATTGGATTATTTTATTCAGAAGTATATAAAAAAGGAATTATAATAATACGAATTAAATATATTTAATTATTTAATTATTATATGAATTTTTATCTAACAATAAGATATTTGAGAGATTTTCTTCAAGCACGTTATAAAATCTAAGCAAAGAATGCATCCAAGAAAGAGTTTAGACTTATTGATAATATAATTATTAATAAAATTTGAAATCAGTAAAATACTAAATTATGAATGAAACTTGCGATTTGGCAAGAAATTTGCCAGAAATTTAATTTTTAATACACAAAGAAATATATTTATGCGTGAAAAATTATTGACATAATGATTTACTTTCGCACCGAAAGTGTCTGTACGGAAAAATATTGGAATCATCTATTATTAGTTAGGAAATAAATAAATAAATCCATTTATAAATTATTACACTCCGCGTCGCGGTTTTTGCTTTGTCCAAAAATCCGGAGTCTATTGAGAAGATTAAATGCAGCTATTTCGTGCATCTGCTACGACGCTGCTTCAGCAAAACCGCTGCTCGATGCCGTCTCGAGTTTTTTGACGCGTATACTTGCGCTTCCTTCGAAAATTTATATTCTTGCAGAAAGATTCTCACGGAAGAAATTCCCCGCTCGTAGCAGCGAATTCGCTCGATCGACTTCATTCAATTCACCATCAATCGCGTATATGGCCGAACAAGTTTTGCTTTCGTGTCTCGTGTCTTTTCGCGAACTTTTCGCATTTATTTTTATCGCGAACATCAAATCGGTGTCATTAGACAAACTTCATAATATTTCGCATACGCGTGTTTTAATTATGAATAAAAGCGTATACATCTGAATTGACAAAGTAGATTTATATTTGTTTATTTATATTATTGCACTACTTAATTATTAATTATTAACCGATAGATTTTCTATTTATTTCGATCGCGTGATTGCGGCTACTTGACACTTGTCAATTAAATTTATTTATGTATATATAATATTTATATGCACATAAATTGCGAAATGTACTAATAATTATCTCTGGCAAGCGTTATCTGTTCAAATTAATAAGGATTTTCATTTGTGGGATGAATAAACATATTTAACTGTCGTTTTTTTTTATCAAGACAAAAAATCGTTTGCGGGAGCAATTCGTATCCATATTAATATACGTGTGCTGATGTCGCAAATGCGTACAAATATACGATAATGAGATATAACGACTAGATATTTGCGGAGCATAAATATCGAATAGTGTCTATATTCCGTGAAAGCCAACAGCAGATACAAATGTTCCATTATCTCATCGCATCGATACTCTATCTATTCTAATTACCTCGTAACCTGTAGGATTGCCTATAACAGGATGGTGCACCAAGGTAACGAAAAACAATGGTCCCCAGAATATGACATACGCTGCCGTTATGACCAGGAACATTTTCACCCTTTGCACGCCCTCGCGTTCCATCCTTCTAAGGTAATTCCTCATTTTCCGATGCTCCTCGACGGCGCCTGTTCTCTGAAATATATCGAGATGCCGTCTCTGAATAATCTGAGATCTTTATGCGTCTCTGATACTCGCCTTGCATCGTCATCTTTCTTGGCGCATTCAATTTAGTTTGCATTTCGTGAGCGGAAAACGGAAGAAGCAAGAAGTGCATCCAAGAAAGAGTTTAGACTTATTGATAATTTGACATTAAAAAAACCCTTATGAACAAAAATGATGATTTAACAAGAAATATCAATTTTTCGAAAATTTAATTTTTAATACACAAAGAAATATATTTACGCATGGAAAATTATTAACATAATGACTTACTTTCGGTGTCGTACCGTTTCTTGTGTCAACTGCACCATCATCGGTTGCAAGCGCGTTGGTTGCACCCTGATGTCCGCCTGTCACATTAACGAGCGTTGTGACGAGGCCAGCTACTCGTACCTGGAGGTAAACGCGGTTGTAAAAGCAAAAGAGATTAATTTTATTAATGTTTTTTTTTTTTAATAAAAATGAATAAAATTCGTTACGTAGGAAAATATAATCTCGCAAAAATATAAAAACGTCCAAATTTTTAATCCAACTTGATGTTATATTTGCATTAGCATATTTAATACATAAATTTTTTTTTTATTATCTAATTTTATACTTTTATTAGCATAAATATAATTTTTAATAATTATATATTTATAATAATACTTTGAATATTAAATACATATGATCGATATTGTCGCTCACCGCTTCTACGTTAGCTTTCGTCAAATCCCTGTGCAATTTTCTCAAATGAAAAAGCGTGAGCGCCACGCAAATGATGTTGATGACAATCCAAAGGACGTTGAGAATATAGTGACGAAAAGGGCCGTGTACCAACGGGCAACTAGGCGCGTTGTGTCCGCTCTCTGTGTTGGCCGCTAGGGCTCCGCTGAGAAACGTAGGCCCCAAATTTATCGTTATGCTCGCGAACCAGATCATGAAAGTGCCAAAGAGTACACACTGTAAGCAATGAAAAATTGTTTGAAAAAGGGACTGTTCTTGTTCATTGCTCCGAATCGTACGAAATTCCTCCTTTTGTTGATAGACAATTTCTCAAATAATTTTTTCGAGATTTTTATGAAGACAATTAAACATGAATCTTGCGGTTTTACATATTTAGAAATACAACTTTTTATAGAGAAATAAGGACATAAAATTTAAATTATTATAGCTTTTACTCCTTTACTAATTGTGTTTAATTAAAGTACTGATCCTGTACAAATAATTTTTCAATGAGCTTTGAAAATATTTAACTGAGGCTATTTCAACCTAATTATTTGATCATCACAAATAATTTTTAATGAACTTATAATATTTTGATAATTACATTGCAAATAAAAATTCTTATAAAAAATTTATTTTAAATAATAAATAGTGCTTTATTATTTATTTGTGATATGATATAACTTGTTTTGCATAAAACTAATAAAATTATACTGGAAAGAATTAGATTAAAATACATTGAGCTGAAAGACAAAGTTTAAAATGATCGTGAAAATTATTCCGACGTTTGTAAAATCACGATTGCACTTTTCTCGCGTTCGAAATAATAGGTATCTTGCATATTTAACGAACCGTCGTGTTATTAAAACTTTCTCGCTGCAAAAGCAAATCGAGTATTGCAAGTTATCGTTAAATTAATTTGGAACTAACTGCTACTACATGATTTGCATAAAATTAATGTGCAATAAATTTGGAAATAATTATTCTTTTCAATGCACAAATTCGTCGTTCTCGCGATTTTCGAATTCAATGTATTCGTAGATAGTTAAAATTAAAATTTGCTTACGGTAAAATTTATTTTATTTTGAATGAGAAATTAAATAAAAATATAAAACACTTTTTAAATTTAAATTAAATTAAATTAGATACATGTGTGCAAATTAAAATATTTTTTATTTTTTCATATTTTTTATATTTTATTAGTTATTATGTGAACATTTATTATAATTTAATGTTAAAAAAATTATTTTAAAGATAATTAAAAAATATAATTCATTATGGTCTTTTGTATACTGAAAAAAAATTTTGCAATGCTAATGTAATAAGAATTAAATATTTGGTTAAAAACAAAATATTTAGTTCTTATTACATTGATATTTATTTGCACATATTCGACCGCAGATTTTGTTAAGTAAAATAATTTTTTTTCAGTGTACAAATGATTAATTCGGCTTATTGAAAGATATTTCTATTCTTAGTCACAGCTGTGAGTATTAATGTTTTTTGGCGATGGTGCGATTAATTTTTCTTTTGAAATATTTGATTTATCTCGAGAATCCGCACTGCGTGACGCTGACAGTTTGCACCGCAATCAGTCACCACTAAATTCGTCATTATCATGCTGCAGTTAGGCGGAAATTTCCCTCTCATTCCGAATGCTAGATGGACAACTGACTTTGCCAAGTCATGCAGTTTGTTCAGTATTTTTGATCAATTGCCATAGGCAAACAGATATAAATTGACTCGCGCCAGCGCATAAGTTTGGAAAGCGGTATATTTGATTAAATAAATATTTATAGAAATTCGGGAAAAATATATTTGATAAATAAAAATACGCCTATCTATTTCATATATAGAAATATGATTGCAATCAGTATTTCAATTTCAATACTAATAAATTCAGCACCATATAAAAAAGTGTAATACAAATATTATAATAGAGAAATGTTAAACGAGGAATGAGATTTGAAAATTAAGGATTAGAAGTTCACTATATTGTAAACTAGAATAGCTCAGGGCTATGAGAGAATTGCAACAGCAAGTAGATCAGTTGAAACTTGACTGATAAGATTCGGAGAGAGAGAAAATTTGACAATTTACATATACTGAAAAAAACATTTATTAACTTTTTTTGTATTATATAATTGTCATTTATTAACTTGACTAAATCGTTCAACTAAATATTATTTTGTTTTGAACATATATAGAAATACCTAAATTAAATCTAACAAATATAAATTTAACTTAAATACTAATATATGTTCAAATAACAAAATAATAATTTAGTTGACCGGTTTAGGAAAGTTAACCATTTTTTATGTGTAGATATGAATTAATACTCTATAAAAAATTATATTTAATATTTTAATATTAAAATAATATTTTACGATATATCTGACGTTGAAACAATCATACAAATTACGGAAATCACATGCGTTATAATTTTTACCTGGGGCGAGTCCATCAATAGAGGAGCGGTCAGATCTGCCTCCTCGTCGCTCTCTGGAAATACCGGGCTGTCGTTTAGCACGGTTGTTAACATATTTACCGTAGAAACGGTCACCAGCAGCAGAAAAGCAGTCTCGACCAAGGAGCACTTGTTAACGGGTTGACAATTCAATATACTAGAGCCAAGAGGCAATAATATAGCTGCCCTCGCGCAGTCTACCATGGCTTGATGGAATATAATCCCTGGACCACCTGTAAATCCCAGAATAAGTGTGCGTAACATAATCGTCCGTCTTGCCATCCTGCCTTTGTTTGCTTATAAAATCACGTCTCTGTATTTAAAATAAGAAAATACGAACAGTATCTTTCTGAATTATAATATCGAGTTTTAACAATCCAATGATTTTTTTCTTCATGAAAATCTTAATGATTGTGTTTCATATTATTTATCAGTATTTATACTGAATGTTAACTAATTGAAATTTGCTTGAGATATCTATTTAAATTCAATTAGGAAAATATCTTATTTGATTGTGAATTTTTATAACATATTTTCCGTCACATTCTTGTTAATAAAAGTCGATTTTATAAATTGATAACACGGAATGTTCGGTATCACATTTAGAAACATAGTTGTAGTTTGTCACATCAGATTTCAAATATCTATTTTAATATATCGAGATATGGAGTATACACACATTTTATTTAATCGGTAAACATGTGTGGAATTTACCTGGCCGTATACTTACCGAAATGAAGTTTAACAAGTTCTGGAAAGATATACTCTTTCGCCGGATTAAAGTAAGTTCACGTGAGCGACATATAGATAGCAAGAGTTACTTTCAACTTATAAATTTTCGAAAATATCGGAAATTACGCTTCAGTAAAATTGCTTTACTTTCTCGCAAACGACATGCTGCTGTTGTACGAATGGTCATCATATTTGAACATTATACGAGGTAAAGGATAATAATAGAACGATATACATACGTTTTGTATCGCGAACATCTATTTTCTCTCCATTTGCAAAAAAATCACGATCGCATGATTTTTAACAACGTTAGGGTGTCTAGCACTCGGGAAAATCCGGAAAACCGGGCATTGTTAGGTAATTTAATAAATCTCGAATTGTCAGGAAAAAGTCAGGAAACGTTACTATTTATCTGGATTTTACATATTATTCTACATTTGTCTCAATAATTTGTATTTTTTTTTTATTAAATAAATGTAAACTTTTTCTCGACTCCCAGCACGCTAATTTTCTGTGTTAAAAATCGATTCATCTACAGCGTGTTCGTTAATTTTATTTTTATCGTCGTGTTATTTTATTTCAATGTGTTTAATAGAGATAAAACTAAAAAATTGATATAATATAAATCAAAAAGGTGATTATTTAAATAGTTTATAGTGTCATGTTTGTTTCGATTATCGTACATAATGCAGATTGTATAATTGATTTAAATTTTTGTTTTAACTTTCGAACCTTTTCATTGTTGACAAAAATATCTCAAGGCTTTCATGATTTAACATTTAATTGATTTATCATATAGATATGTGCAAATTAATATTTGGAAAAAATAATACTAAAAAGTCAGGGAAAAAATGAATTTCTGGCCTTGGAAAATCTGAAAAACCAGGGAATTTTTTCATTGAATCTGCTGGGCACTCTGAACGTATATGCCAGTATGAAACAAAAGTTTGAACTAATATCTCGCTCGAATGTCATGACGGGAATTTTCGAAGTTATATATTTCGGGATCGAAGTTCGCCGTTCTTCGATCCGGATTATTATCGTACCTGCGCAGCTGTCGCTTCACCAGTATTAGCACCATGAGGATGATATTCGCCCCCATCCCCATTGCACCGAGGCTAAATATGACGGTGGCCTCGGTGACACCACCGGGATGACACTGGAACACCTTAGTGGCGTTGGACGTGACATTCCCGGAAGCGCCGATGCCGACCTCAGATTAGCTCCGATCATCGCTACCGCTGAACCTGCACAAGAGAGAATCGCCCTATTTAAACGCCCGACATTTTAAAATCGAAATTTAAAAGCGCTCTCCGCAACTTTTAAAACCGACGTTTTAATGCGATGAATTGCTAGAGTCAGAGTGTCTAGTCCTTGAAATCATTATTAAAAAAAAAATTTGTTAACTTGACTAAACCTTTCAACTAAATATTATTTTGTTAATTGAACATATACAAATATTTAAATCAAATGTAACATATTAAATCTAACAAAACTTATATTTGACTTAAATACTAATATATTAATTAACAAAATTGTGATTTAGTTCAAAGGTTTAGTCAAGTTAATCATTTTTTTACAGTGTTGAAATGTTCTGGAATTTTGTTTCTCCTTTAAAAATCCTGGAAATGTATTCGAATTTTTCGTAGATATTTTTGATTTTTTTTTGTCGCTTTTAAATATTCAACTAAAAGAGTCAGCTGGGACTATTCGGGTAAAAAATATTTAATTCTACTTCATAAATAATACAATATATTTTTTATTTACGGAATTCAAAAATGTGTTGCGCATAAGTTGTTTATACACGAAGAGATTTTTTTCTTAGAATTTACCTTGAAAATTATGGTAATTGTGGTACGGAATTTTATGAGAGTTTCTCTGATTAAATATCTACTGCAATGCAAATATTAATATTTTATTGTGGTAGATATTAATTCTGATAAATTCTTCCAATGTCATTGTTTTACGATTACCATGATTTTTAGGATAAATTCTGAGAAAAAATGTTCTCTATCTATGTAGATTTTAAAAGTTCAAATATAATATAAAAAATATATTGAATATTTGTATAATGCGTATATTAATTTTTATTAACGTGCAAGTTATGTATTGACTTGATAAAAAAAATAAAATTTTCGGTTCTTTGTACATTTTTATCATACTATCGGAAAATCGTGCAAATTTCCTTTAAATGTTCTGGAAATGTCCTAAATGTCATTTTCAAATTTTACTAGACATTCTGAGAGTTTTAAATGCTAAAAAATCGATTTAATAAGTGCAGGAAATATTTAGTATAATGGTATTGCATAGCATGTGAAATTATTAGTGAATAGGTGTTAAGTAAGATTGCTTTTAATGATCAGCCTTCTAATTACGAAAAGTTATGTTAAGTACAGAGCAGGAATTCATCCCGTTGCTAGGAGTTGCGTTGGGAGCTATTATCAGTGAAGAGCACGAGAATCTCAGGTATTTCCATCTTTCGCCAAATCTCGAGTTGCCCACGCTTTCAAATCCAGTTACTCTAGTTAGGTCTTGATTATCTACCCGTGCTTTGCGTGCAACTAGAGGCCAACGAACGCTTAATTATCGTCTCAATAATGACAGAACAGTGGATCTCTCATGTCTTCTATGAATTCAAACTGCTAGACTTTGATACAAACGGAAGTGAACATGCTTTTCGGGAAAACCTGAATGAAATTATTTTTTTTATTGTTAAGAAATGTTATCTTACACTCAATAATTAAAAAGATTTTTTTTAAATGTACAGAAGTAAGTCGTATATAATTTAGACTTGTTGAAAATGTTTATTATTGATGTGAACTCATGATTTATTTTCTCAATCAATATAAAATTTTAAACAGCCTTGGATGATGTTGAATATATATATATATATACACAGTCTCGATTTAGTTTTCGTCAATTTTTCCGCGTTTTTACTAGCTCAAAGTATTCGCATCGGATACAGTATTTCTAGATTTTCGGAAAACAAGCGTAAAATATCCAGCCACTGAAAGCGATATCGGTTGTTTATTCTTTCGTCGGAATTCAGTTGCGCGCGCATTTTGCGCTGAAAGATAGGTGAGGAACCGAGGAAATAGCAAAGAAAGGCGAGTATATCCGAACTTTTATAGATATATCGATACCCAAAACATACACAATGTGTCTCGGAACCATCGTATTTTTCTTCAGCTATATATCTTGACTTTCTTTTATGTGCAGTCAATTCTTAAAAATATCACGATGTGCAAATTAAATCGTAAGAAAAAAACTTAGCAAATATAACTTTCTATATTTTTTCTTTCGAATAGGTAAGAAAATTTAGGTCACACATGTGTAACGCGGATGAACGAAAATTTGGGTAAAACGCTCGAGTTGCGAGAATTATTCATTTCATTTTATCGTCCAATGAGGGTTCTTTAATACATACATATTCCAAGAGGCTCTGCTTCGGGTGCTTACCGCGAGATCATATATCTTTCGTCCTGCCTTTAGGCAAAATCACTCGGTTCACGGTTTATCGGAATAAATGCGAGCGCGTGCTGTGAGTTCGAAACGTATCGTTGTTTTCGCGTATATACGACCCACATTTTCAACCCGTGACGTCAGGTTACCCGGAAAGGGATGCCGTCGTACGAGAAGTGTTAAACGAGAGAAAGAGAGAGAAAAGGGGATGGAAAACAACTCCAACTTTATTCGACCTGTAAAAACTCGGTCGCCGCGTTCAGGCTCGCGCTCGGACGACTCTGCAGTACCTATCGATGTACAGCTAAATCAGCGAAATTAAGTGGCATCCGATACGAACTAATTCGATTTCAGGGAGCTTAATCGTGTTAGCAACTGCGAGGATGAAAAGAGAAAATGTCCTGTCGCCTGTTGACGCGCGCGCGTTTCGTCATGGTTCGAAGGCTTCGTCCCCGCACGAAGCCTTATCAGATTTTCTCAATTTTAGCACTATGTCAAAGTTTCCCGAGAAACTTCTCCGTCCGTTGCGAGTCTTCTTCTTCTTGCTTTTTTTGCATTTTTGCAAGTCAATTATTTTGGGATGAAACTGTTACTTCAAACCTCACCGGTTATAATTGTGAATATTATTTACCGTTTTTTAGGAAAAGGTGAACTTTTTCACCTTTTGATAAATTAACTTTATTTAACGATTTATTAAAGTTAATGAGAAATTTAAATATGAGGTGAAACAAAATTGCTTTTTTAATTTTTTGATCATTTATAAATATTCATGACACTTTTATTACGATATGAAATTATTATAAATTTTTAATTAGATAAGAGGCAGAGGATAAAGCAAATATCATAGTTTTTTCAGTCACATTTTTTTTAATAATAAATTATCATTTGCTCACTTTATTTTCTTTTTTTTAATACAGAAAATCCGAGTATTTTCCATTAACTTCACGACTGTCGGTCATTGAAGCTTCGTCATGGAGCTTTCGAAAGCTTCTTTCGACGCGTCACTACTTTTTCAATTTAGAACGATTCGAAGTTGCTTGGCAATCAGCCTTTGCGAGTCTTCTTTCCTGGATATCGATCTTAGTAAAAAGTTTTTGGTCGAAGTCAAAAAGAAAAACTTATCGAAAGTATATTACTGCTCTTTTATATCTGTCAGATTGCGATTGATTTTAGGCTGCGAGCGAATTGACATTATTAT